CCCCAAAACCCCAAAACCCCAAAACCCCTTCAGCCTATATCAAAAATAAAATTATAATATGGATTCTGAGGAATTTGACCCTATTCTAACTCACCTAGACCCTATTGAAAAGCCAAACCCCAAAAAAGAGTCTCCTCCCCAAAGAGTAGGGTCTAAAAGACGATCTGTGATGAACAGAAGAGCCTATCAGTACTTAAATTGTCTAATTTATAGCGTTATTGATAAATACAGCCAGAAGAAAGCAGCTAAACCCAAGTTGATCAAGAAGAGGATCATCAGTCAATACAAAAGTATCGATGATTTCGAACGATTTCATCATAAAAGAGTAATGAGTGCTATCGATGATCGATTTGTGGTATTTCTTAACCAATAATTCCTAGCTACATTGTACTAATTAAATACGTTTCAAATAAGAGCGACCAGACAAAGGGATTCAACGTAAACTTTAGTCTTATTTTTGATAGGTAATACTTAAGGAACGGACTGAAAGGTTTAAAGAGCTAGATTCTGAACTTAAAAATGTCGTCAAAATGCCTCATAACAAAATCGTACGTCAACTAGTGCTTGGAGAGTAATATCTTGTAGGTTAATAGAGGAGGAAAGTTAGCGATCCTTATCTCTCCATCAGTTGTTGAACAGGTCACTCGGATCTCACAGAGTGTGCTGAAATAAGAACGTGAAGATATTTAAATCCCAAAGTGCAGCCAACCTTACTCTCAAAGACGGGTATTTGAAGTTAGGCAGACTCAACTGCAATAATAATTTTCGAGTAAGAAACTGTTCTTATTGTGAGTAATTCTATAGAAAAATACTGAAAGAGAAGAGAAACTCAAGAATACTCCTGCTTCCTATAGTTCCTCAATCTTAGGCAAGATGATTCGGAATAAGATCGAGAAGAAGGCTGCAAAGCATCAGCATAAGAAAACTTCTCGAAGGAGTATCAAGCCGAAAAGAGGAACAAGGGACTTTCTGCTGTCTTCTAAGATGGCTAAGATAACCAAATATCTAGAAAAATACACAACTACAAAGGAAAAGGAACAGGTCTAGGCCTCTGATTCACCAAACTTGATTCAATATTTTATTAGGCCGAAGGGGTTTTGGGGTTTTGGGGTTTTGGGGTTTTGGGG